TAGTGGAAGCAGGGACGAAACGTCAAATTTGTGATATTATTCGCAATATACTAAATTAATAAGTTCCAATTATTTACGAAATTTAAATTAACATCTTTATATTATTTGTAATTTATCAAGTATTTATCGGTGATATTATAATACTACTGTAGTATTTATGCGTCATATGTCTGAATGTTTCAGCGCGCAATTATGGGGGGACTACATATGTAGCATATATAAATTTCACACATAATTATTATTAGCACGTTGATCCAGCTTTGACCGTTATAGGCGTTAATTCTTCCTTGTTTGTTTGACAGTATACGGTCGGTACAAAATTAGTTAATATAGTAAATAATATTTATTAATAGTTGTAAATAATAATGAAAACTTAGCCTTAATAAATATAATATTTTAATCTGAATGAGCATGTAGAAAAGCTAATTTTTCTACGTTTCCCGATAGTAATTTTGTTCTTTTGTCTGTAACGATATTACTAACTGTGGAGAACAACCGCTTACTAGTTGCTTGTGTGGCTGGTATAGCCATATATTGCCGTGATTTTCGTGATAGTATAGGGAACCTTATAGAATTTTCTTTCCACTAAATTATACTATAATTTGCAGGTATAGTTTTTTCCTTCAAATAATTTCTAATTTCGTCGTCTTTACATTTAGTAAAATTATCTCTCGTACGATTTATGCTATCTCCTTTATTATCAAGTTTAGTGACAAAAACCTAAATAACTTAGGTTTCGGTTCTCCTATAAAATAAAATATAATATGTATTAATAAACGGATACAGTTTTAAATTGTGTACAGTTAATTTATAAACAATTTTTATAATTGTCATTGTTATCACATTTTTCACTTGTTTCATACTCATTATTATTGATATTGCTATTTTCTATTTCACATGTAATATGTTCGCTCAAGTAATTGATTGCTTCCTTTTTTTGATCCGATTGTAAAAACTGGTTTTTAAATTTTGGATCTAGTAACATTGCTTGTACCAAAATAGTATTTTTTTACAATAGTATTAAACCGTGCCTACAAATATATTTTATTTATATATATATTGAGTAAATGGTATTTATTAAAGAAATTTTTTAAGTAATTAAATATATTAATTGTTTGATGGAAAGGATTTATGTAAACGATGAAACTTATAAATGTGAGTTACGAAAGTGTTTTAATGTGTACTTAATCTTTCAAATATATCGGTTAAGAATGCCGACTCTATACGTGGCTACGTGCGACAACGAGAGCAGCACACAAAACGTGTTAGTGGTAGGGGCAAGATGTCGGAAGTGAACTAGCGCCTAGCATCAGCGCCATCTACACAGGAAGATACAGTCACAGAGGATAATGGCGGGAACACATGTTTTTCAACACCTCCTCTTATTCTGGACATTATCTCCATTTGTATAAAACATTGAGATATTGTTAGCCAAAGTAGAGGCTTCGTTAACAGGTCTGCTGCTTGTTTATTTGAAGACACATATGTGACGCTGACTTCCCCAGCCTCCTGTTCCTGCCTGATGCAATGAAATCGAACTCCAATATGCTTCGTTCGTTTAAGAAACTCTGGATTCTTAGACATCGCTATAGCTGCCTGATTATCCACCTTCAATTCTGTTGGCTTAATCTGTTTCAATCCGATAGACTGCATAAGTGACCTCAGCCATAGAAGTTCCTTTAATGCTTCTGAGATCGACATACATATATTCCGCTTTTGATGACGAAAGTAATCTGTTGTAGCCTTGATGCCCACGCAATTACTCTGCCATGGATAAGAAAAACATATCCGGATGTCGATCTTCTTTCCTTTGATTCGCCAGCATAATCGGAATCACAATATCCAATCAGTTCATCTGATGATTTTCTATAAAAATATGAGACATTAATCGTACCCTTGAGGTATTTCATAACACGCTTTACTGCCTTCCAATGAAGTGGTTGTGGATTATTTGAATATCGAGCAAGCCTGTTTACCGCATATAAAATATCCGGTCTTGATATCATAGCAATATAATTTAAGCAACCAATTGCTTCTCGATAAGGAAAGCGTTTTTCTTCGCCTTCGACTTCATTGATTTCAGTCAATTCAATAGATGAATTCATTGCGGATTTTGCAGATTTACAATCTTCCATCCCAAAACGACGCAGCATACGTGAAATATATCCCTGTTGATTAATACAGAGCTTCCCTCTTGTTTGATCTTGAGTTATTTCCATTCCAACATAACACGTTGGTTTATGATATGTAATCCCAAACTCTGAGACCAGTGAAGAAACAAAGGTATCCAACAATTATTTTTGTTTACATGCTATTAAGCCATCATCGACACATAAGATAGCAACATCCAGTCATCCGTATAAGCATCCTTTATAAAAATGCATGGATCCGCTTCTGACTGTTTAAATCTATAAGACAAGACAAAATCCCTGAACTTATCGTTCCAGTTTCTGGGTGATTCTTTGAGTCCATAGAGTCCTTTCTTCAAATGACATACACGCCCTGATCCGTCTTCATACTCTTCAGGTTGTTGCATGTATATGTCTTCCTTCAGTGAACTATTCAAGAAGGCTGTTTTTACATCAAACTGAACTAGCTTTATGTTGTATTTAGCTACCACAGCTAAGATTACTTTTACCGACTCGTAACGTACAACAGGTGAAAAAGTTTCGGTAAATGTTCCCCTTTACACAGTCAGCCTCAAATGACTTCCGAGTGACCTTGACCTTGACCCTCAAGAAGGTCAAGGTCATTGACCATTCCCGTCGCTCGTCCTTCGTTAAAAAGTTATTAACAATCATAGTTCTAAAATATACGTTTCATTTCTGCTATGTACGTATGATATCAAGTACTATTCTACACCTTTCCCTGTTCAGAAAGCTTAAACTTTATACGCGATGTTACTTTCACTCCCCCCCCCC